CGTGTCGTACCCAGTAAGAAGAAGATGATTCGGAACAAAAGTTGAGCACGTTGTAGTGCATATTTAGTCAATGACATGTACACACAATGAAATTTACATTCATATATTTGATCACTTATTCTTTGACATTTTAGGGGAAGCCGAGCTTCCCTTGCAGTCCGAGAGCAATCGCCACTGGCAGAAGCAGGAGGTACAGTAATGAAATTTTCTGGCCAAACAAGCTCTTAAACGGAAATCAATATTCCTGGAAATTCTGTGAAGTAAAACTGAATACAAACTAATAATTGAAAAGAAAAAGTTGGGATGGAACATTTGGCAGAACAGGGATATAAATGAAACTAGAATACAGACATAAATGAAATATATACATTCACATAAATATATAAATTATATATTTTTATAACTTTCAGAAACAGGTCGGTTTAGGGCATAAAATGGGTCCGAAAAATGGAAAGAAGAATCCAATTCCACTTGTCTTTGGAGTGAGTCTACGACATTGAATTCCACACTTTATAAAATAGGAAAGCACCCTAACAGCAATTGTGATGTGTGTGTGGTATGCGGGTGGATCACAGGATGGAATGATTTACGTTATTTATTCATTTACAGTTTTATTAATTTTTTCGCACCGTTTCACGCTCCAGTCCGGTAGGTAACGGTAACGTGCCTAAACGCTGATATTCCACCCACTATATAAACAACAGAAGAAGAAGAAGAAGAAGAAGAAGAAGAAGAAGAAGAAGAAGAAGAAGAAGAAGAAGAAGAAGAAGAAGAAGAAGAAGAAGAAGCAGCAGCAGCAGCAGCAGCAGCAGCAGCAGCAGCAGCAGCAGAAGAAGAAGAGAAAGAAGAAGAAGAAGAAGAGGAGGGTGATATAAAGCGGAAACTGCGCATGTGTGAAGGAGCTTTTGCAGCTCAACACTTTAGAACTTTCTTTTATTAAGTAAGGAGGGCACCAGGAAATATATCACAACAAAACCATAACGGTAACTCCACAGACCGGTGAGAACAACGTTTAAGGGTTACACTAATAGTTGTCTACTGTGACGCGCAGTCCAACTTTCGAAACATTTCACTTCGTGAGCATCCTCAAATTCAGACATCGGTTTTGAATGCGCCGGTTTGCTAATCATTGTGGTTTAATGATTGCATAATTAAAGTAAATAGAGTGAGCTTTACACGACCAATAGTTGAGTTTCCTCAGAAAACTCATGGACCCCAATGGAGCCACAGAGGGTCCTCGGCCAGATGGGGGACGCTTCAATAATTTAAGGACAGTTGTGGAAACCAGGGTCAAGCATAATGACGGGTCAAGAGTAAAAGAAACTCCGTTCCACCTAGTCAGCACACGACCTCGTGTTTCTCCGCTAAGGTTGGAACCTCCTGGCACCTTGCTCTTTGGCACAATTGGACAACTAAATGCTCGGCTTCTTCAGAAGGATGTACTTGTTGCAGCATCAGTCGAAAGTACAGGCGCGCAAGCGTCCGATACAAGGAGTGACTGCGCCACGTCAAGTGAAAATACCCAAACAAGTACACGTGGAGAGGAGGTAAGAACAGACTCACGTGCTTTCGTAGAAAGCATAGCAAACTTCTAATTTCCACAAATGTCTGATTAATGGATCTGTCCTTGCCCGTTGTGTCCCATAAGTGATAATTTTAAACAACTACAGTAAGTTCTGCAGAGAGGATGTACGTTGTTCAATAAATAAACACTTCACTGCATGAGTGAATTTCATGTTCATTAAATGTTGACATGATGAAAAGATATACTGGTACCATCACACCGATAAAATACTGCAGTCAAACCAGCCTCCGCTCGCAAAATTGAAGTCAAGTGAGCCGCCACTGCGATTGTCAATACTGTATTGTGCATTAGGTAATTTGCAGCGTTGGCCACCTTCAAAATAAAAGCGACCCAACTAATATACGCACGTCAGTGGTTTGGATTAAAAAAAATGTTATAAAGTCGTTTCTTGGCTGTCGAACAAACCATCAGGTCACCCAGGGAGAATATAAACTCTCAGAAAAGCGTCAAGAAGCGTTCTCAATTGGAGAGAGAAAATAGAGTAAATGGTTATTCTACATCAATTTCACCTGCTTTTTAATACAGGTAAATCATGAAAAAATTAATCTTAGTTATCCCGCAACCAAACCAGGTTTTCGACACACTAGAGCACCCGTAGAATTCTTTTTAAATTTTTTTTTATATGGGCGAAAAGGTCAGCATGTCTGAATTCAGTTCCAAATGTCAGTTTTCAGAGGCCTTTTATTTTGAAATGCGACATCAGATCTGAACGAGGGTGGTCTGGTTGAATACCTGGGGTGCTTTAGTGTCCCTGAGACCTGCTTTAGTGTCGCTGAGACATGGTCTGATTGAGGGAAAAAAAAATTCTTTCTTTTAAGATGTTTTAAAAATGGGCAAAAAGATTAACATGTCGGAATCCAGGTTAACATGTCAGTTTTCAGAGGCCTTTTATTTTGAAATGCGACATCAGATCTGAATGAGGCTAGTCTGGTTGGTTAGATACCTGAGGTGCCCTACTATGTCCTAGACCTCGTCTGGTTGAGGGATAACTAAAATTAATTTTTTTCAAGATTTAAAAAAAAAATGGGCAAAAAGGTCTTCATGTCAGCATCCAGGTTAACATCTCGGTTTTCAGAGGCCTTTTATTTTGAAATGCGCCCTCAGATTTGAAGAGGGTAGCTTGGTTGGATACCTGGGGCGCTCTAGTGTCCCCCAGACCTAGTGTGATTTAGGGATAACTAAAGTTCATTTTTAATTATTTTTGGGATTATACAATACAATACAATACATCTTGATTTATATAGCACTTTCACAAGGCGAGGAGGTCAAAATGTCATATTTCAGAGGCCTTTTATTTTGAAATGGAACATCAGATCTGAATGCAAGTACTGTGGTTGGATACCTGGGGTGCCCCTAGTGTGTTGAAAACCTGGTGTGGTTGCAAGATAACTAAGATTCATGTTTTTAATTTTTTTTATTTTTGCGAGATAACTAAGATTCGTTTTTTTCTTGGCACTGTTCTGAGAGGTCTTATTCTTCCTGGGTGAACTTATTGTTGCCTGACAGCCAGGAAATTACTTGTTTTATATTTTAATATATTTATTTTAATCCAAACCACTGACGTGCATGCATTAGTTGGTTCGCTTTTATTTTGAAGGTGGCAAACCCGCTCGCGGACGGCAAGTTACCATAATGCACAGAATTGACAATCGCATACCTGTCGACTTTTCGGAGCGCCAACCTGTATAAACTACCAAAAAAAATCCTTACAAAGAGCAAAAAATCCTGATAACATACGAAAGCATTTTATATGTCAAAATAACGGCAGAAAAAAACCCACGACATTTTCAATGATATTTATTGTAGATCTCCATAATACAATGTCTGGTTAATGTCAAATAATCATTCTACTTAGTGGCATTACTGGAAAGTTACCGGAAATGAAAGCATTCGAGTAGACTAGCACCATTCTGGGCAAAAGCAAACGGAACTACCTGTTAGGGGGGAGAAAAAAAAAAAACGGAAATTTTCAGAATCCGTATCATTTATGCGATACGGCCATATACGTAAGATTCACCACAAAATCCGTATGAACTATGGGTAAACCGTATGAGTTGACAGGTATGCAATCGCAGTACAGTGAAACTCCTCTACAACGAAACCATGTTTGCAGCAAGAAATTTTTCACAACAGGTGGTTTTTCACTGTAGCAAATTTGATCTCAGATGTAAGCACACACACACCCACACACACAAACGTAACACACACACACACACACACACACACACACACACACACACACACACACACACGTATGTGTACTCTTTATTTTTATACCAATAGTGCATAAGTATGAGCATACACGTATTTGACACTTCATATAGTCAGTGTAAAATGAAAAAAAGGGAAAGAAATTGCGAAATTTACAATCAGCATTCACTTTCACTTACATCAATTTCTTGGATAATGTCTCATTTTGCTTCCTCCGTCTTTCATTTTGATCACTTTTACCCTCTCTTCCAGCGTCAGAGCTCTTCTCGTCTTAGCTGCTTGACATCCAAAGGTCCGTTTTGTAGCAATTTTAGCAATGCAACGTTCTTGGTGCGTCTGAAACTAACAATAACAAATACTTCCTGGACGACTGCGTATGTGTAAACCGGTGTGGTGGTTGCTGTTGCCGTTTCCAAACGAAGCAGTAGAGGTCGCTGTTGGATTAGACTTCGTTGTAGTGAATCTGGTCGCGAGGCAAGAGCAGAGAAAAAGATTTCGTACAATGCAACAGCGTTTTTTTTCGTTGTATGGGGAGCAGGAAAGTGGGAATGGTGTTAATGCATGAAGACTTTTTCACAGTAGGGGGTATTTTCGCCCATGTAGGTTTCGTTGTAGAGGAGTTTCACTGGAGCGGCTCAATTGACTTCAATTTTGCAGTGGAGGCTCGCTTGACGCAGTGATAAAATGCTCAGCAATATATTTTAGCTAAGGTGCCTTCAAGGGCCCGACCATATGGACAATTTTTTGGCGCTGATTCAGATATTTGGCAGTTTAAAATTCCTTTAATAGACCGAATGATAAAAATCATATATATTCAATAAAATAACTTCCTTTTTGCTTCCTTACTCTGTACAACAATACAAATGGGAATTACAGGCAGAACATTTGACTGTTTTACAATACTGTGTCCTTCAGTGTTTATCTTTCACTAACTAACGTTATATAGCATCATATTTTGTGATATGTTGCCCACACATCCATTGCAGCCTGGTCATCCTGAAAGGGGGTTTCCCCCATCTCCGGCCGCTCCTCAAGGTTTCTTCT